AGTTCACTTCAGCAGATATGACAGTTTATGATAGCTTGTAAGATTAGTTGGACTAGGTCACTTACTTCACGATAAAAGATAGATAATTTTCGTCTGGGTCAGCTGATCCAAAGAGCAAAGAGAGGTTGATCTCTAGAGAATTTGCAATCAAGTTAAGCATCCGGGCTCTCTGCAACTCCCAATTCCATGAGTTTACTGGCTGCTTCTTACGGGTACTTGTTGTCACCTGACAAATGACCAACCACAAACCATCAAAGGCAACACAAAAAACAGCATGCAGAAAAGGAGGAAGTATAGCAGGGGACTATATGGATCCGACTCTTCATTTTTCCTAAAGTTTATGCAGCACCCATGTTCAACACATATTCATGAATAATACATGGTATAAAGATATCACCCTCCAAATACTTGAAACAACTTGGAAAAATTCGAATATACCTCTTTCAGACACATTACCCTTTCCAACACTAACACACAAGTCTATGTAACAAAGGCAGGGGATATAGTACCTTTGCATTGTTGTTAGAACCAGTGCTCGACTCCTCGGTCAAAATAATATGGAAGAGAAAGAACGAGTAAATTTTAAACGCGTTTCGGTATGAAGTGACACGATCAAGCAATGGGGTTTCATCATCATCCTGAGATTGGGAAACTCGCACGAGGGAATCCACATTTGGGAGCAAAACACTCAAATTAGACCTAAGACTTTCTGCAAGAATAGACTTACACGATGGTGTAAGGCTGGAAAAGCCTCGGACTGATGAGTAAACACGATCAAACACATCTTGGTCTTCGATACAGTAGAGCTCTTTATCAGAGAGATCAAAGGATACCCCTGTATTGAGAGGAGAAACAAATTTCAATTAAATTTCTATGAAATCATGTATAATTGATAAAACTAGCGTTACAAAAATGCTTGGAAAATTAAACATAAATATTCTACTCTTTAATGATAGAGAAAATGAGAAACTCCAATCAATTTTTTCCAAATAGTTTATGGAAACCAAACCAGGTTATTTCGTTGAGTAATTTTCTCGAACGCGGGGGAAAATAATTTTTCAAAAAAAATACCAGTTAGGGCTTTTATGAGGTGAAAACTAAAATATATAGAGAGCGAATTTAAACAAATTCATCTTCATTTTCCATAATTTCCTTCTTGCTGAAGCAGTCTAGGCCAACTAAAATCCATCCATTTTAGCAAAATATAAACCGAATTTACACAAACTTTAAAAGAAAAAAACAATCATAAATTAGATTACGAGTTCAAAAGTTTTAGAATAAGCGCATATCTCATCTCAATCTTCCATAATTTTCTTAAAGCTGCTAAAACTAATCTAATTTAACAAAAAACTAAACCTAAACTACACAATTCTAAAACTAAAAAAGAATCATGAAATAGATAAGAAGAAATCGGAACCTTTGACAAATTCTTTGAGTCCCGAAACACGAGGCTTAGATACATCGATAGCGTTCATAACTAATCATAACTTAGATGTTTGAAAGTTTTCGAATAAGCGCAGATCTCATCTCAATCTTCCATAATTTTTCTTAAAGCTGCTAAAACTAATCTAATTCAACAAAAACTAAACAGAAACTACATAACTCTAAAATAAACAAAACGACTCGTGAAATAGATAAGAATAAATCGGAACCTTTGACAAATTCTTCGAGTTCCGAAGCACGAAGCTTAGACACATCGATAGCGTTCTGAACGAAGAGACGGTTGTCTTGGTAATCTTCTTGTTCTTCGTCCTTCTCCAGGGCTTGTAGATTTGGGGGGAAAACGAAGTGAAGAGCCATTCTTTTTGTGTTAGCAGATCTTCAAAGAGAGAGAGAGCTTCTCTACTTGTTCGTCTCGTCTTTGTTTGTTTTTTCCTTTACTTTTGGATTTTCATTTTCCCTCTAATTATTCAAATCAAAATGAGCAAAACCGGAGCGGCAAACTTCATTTTTTCCTTGTTGGGTCTTCGGTCGGGTCGGGTCAGCTAAATGGTGGGAACAAAAACGTGTCATTTGTTTATTGGTCAAACAGTCATGTCACTCATCTTTAACAAAAATCGATGATACATGTTAGAGGATTAAATAATTAATAAGGTATAATATCAAAATTAGCCCCCAAATTTTAATAAAATGATCATTTTAACTCATATTTTTTTAACATTTTAACTCCTGACGTTTCATTTTGAGGTAAAAAGTCCTCTCTATAGATGAAAATTGTTAGTTAGCACATGATCAATGGTCCAAAATAGAGGTCTTTTTTACCCTAAAATAAAATATCGAAGGCCAAAATGCTTTAGAAAAAAGATTAAGGATCAAAATAACTATTCTATCAAATATTTAAGACTTTTTTACCCTAAAATAAAATATTACGTCAAAATGCTAAAAATAATAGAGGCTAAAATTATCCTTTTAATAAATATCGAGTATTAATTTTGGCATTATGCCTTAAAATAACTAGTCTTAAAATAATGTAGTAACCTCAAGGCCTCTCTCGGGGCGTCTTCAATCCAGAAAATGTATACACTATTCTTCCTTCCTTCACTGCACATTGCATGTGCAGCAGCGTTACCTCCTCTTGGTGTAAAACGGAAGTTGCAGGTGCGAAATTGCCTTGCCAGAGCTCTTGCATCACAAGTAAGCCAACAGATGTCAGAAAAGTCAGTCATGTCTGACTATAGCTTTTGAAACACCGTTCTCGAGTCACCTTCTAACACTATGTCTTGGAATCCCAGATCAAGAGCGAAACGTAGCCCCTGGACCGCTGCTAACGCCTCTGCCTCGAAAGCATTAGGGACGTTTTTGTTTAAGCGAAAACCAGCGGCCATAACCAGTCCAGCGTTATTTCGAGCCATGAACCCAGAGCAAGAAGATGTGCATGCAGCAGAAAAGCTCGCATCAACATTCACCTTGATTGTGGGATCGGTGGGGGGAATCCACACAGAATTCTCGTAGACCTTCGCGTGTTGGAGGCAACGGGAAAGAGTCTCGATTTCCATTTCATAGCTCCTGATAAAGGTAACAACCTCATCAACTCCCTGAAATATATTTTCGTAGATCAATTTATTTCTAGTGAACCAGAGAGCCCAGACCGTGTTTGCGATTTCCTTGTGCCTGTTTTTGTTGATGTTTGAGAAAAGCCACTCAAGTTCTCAACCCACTCACCAAAGTTAAGATCATTAATCTGCACTGGCCACTGTACACCAAACTTCCTCCACACATTAGAAGCAAAAACACGCTCCTTACTTACGTGAATGGGGTATTCATAGGAGAGATTACACCTTGGACAATTTGGGTTAGAGATCACCCGCTTTTATGCACATGTTAGACATAGTTGGAAGTTCATGCAAAATTTTCAAAGGTTTATTTTGATCTTCGATGGGCACGAGATACTCCGAATTCTTCTATACAATTGACCTGAATAGGAATTCCTCACAAGGTTCTGAATTAAGAGCCTGTATCCGTTCCTACTGACGCTAAGCTCTTGAGACACCACGGTACGGGTTCCATGGTCAACATTAGAGCTGAAATAGATTTCAGACTTTGCAAAGTTTATAAGTTGGCCCGAACACGCAGAGTATTCAGGGAATCTTTTAAATTAGCAGCGCCCACGGCCTAAGCGTCATCGAAAATAATAGTATCATCCGTGAATAAAAGATGGGTGATCATAGGGGCACCCCTTTTTATTCGGATTCCTTTTAGGACGTTTTCTGAGCTGCTAAACGAAGGTAGGGACTCATAGGATCCCCCTGGTGTAAACCTCTGCTTGGCTGAAAACATTTACCGACTAAACCGTTAAGCACCACAGAGTAAGAAACCGAGGATGGACAATTCAAAACCAAACCCACCCAAGTAACGGGAAAACCCATCTCATAAAGCATAGCCTCGAGAAAGCACCAATCCACCCAATCATAAGTTTTGCTATGTCTAACTTTAGAGCAAACAAGACTCTATTTCCTGTAAACCGCCACAACAATACCATCAGTCAACGATAAAAAAAACATTGGACAAAAACTACATTAGATTTATTTTGTAAGTTAGAATTTCATATTGAAAAAATAATAATATATATGTAACACCTTTAATGCATTTTTGCTTTTTTTACAGACGATTGACAACATTGACTGCAACCATGGGGGCAATCCAGACTGTCCATCGTACTCCTTTCTGCACTCTCACAACCATTCATTTCTACTCATATGCACTCTTCAATAGTGCATTTAAAGCATTCCATATTGCTTAAACTCCACGATGATGGTCAAAAATCGGATCTTTAGCATCAAAATTGAATCTTTATTACATTATTATGATCATTATCCTTTTTGATTTCATGCAGTTTATATGGGAAATTAACAAGAAGAATAATGTGCTGAACAAGTAGAATATAGACAGACCCACAAATTATGAAACTAACATAAAATCATTGCTTGACTCAATTGTCGACGACCTTTGGTAAGATTATAAAAGAGACAAGACAGATCGCGAACTATTCGAGATCAACTCAATTAAAACTCAATCAGCACTCAAATCAAATAAACTCATCTCGAGTTCTTAACAAGCCCGCAAATTTTTGGGTCAAGCTTAATTTTAAAGTTTTCAAGTTGAACTCGGTAATACTCGAGTTTGACTCGACTCGTTTAGAGGGCTAACTGTCGTGTCGGAGAACAACATATTCAAAAAGAATCATGCATCCCCAAATTCAGCATTGGCTCAGTTCATCAAGAGCTACAAGCAGGGCACCTTATCAACCTAGCTTCATCTTCTTCAAACACATTTCTGCTTCCACTACAGTTTGGGCATGGCACGAACTTTGCATCCCCAGAGCCTATGGAAACTGTCCCGGGATCTCTAACCGGAAACCTGCCAGAACCTTTGATAATTCACCATTTTCATTAAGCTTTTTAATCTCTTCAACCCCACCAATGTGTAATTAACTCTTTTTATTATTATCATTATCCTTTGTGATTTCATACAGTTCATAAGGGAAATGAACAAGAACAATCTGCTGAACTAGTAGTATATAGACATTAGACAGACCCGCACATCATGGAACTAACATCAAACAAAACAGTACTGCTACAAATAATCATTGCTCCGACTCTTATATCGGAATACATTTCCAGACATATGATCGAGTTGGAGCAACATATACCTTCATCCGCTGATTAAGCGGAAAGAATCATGCATCCCGAAATTCAACATCTGCTCGGTTTATGAAGAGAACAAGCAGGACACCTTATCAACCCATTTTCATTGCAATCAGGGCACCTTCTTAACCTATCATCTTCTTCAAACACTTTCCTGCTTCCATTGCAGTTGGGGCACGGCACGAACCGCGCATCGCCACAGCCTTCGCAAACGACTCCAGGATCTCGAACCGGAAACCCCGCAAGAAGCTTCGATAATTCACCGTTTTCATTAAGCTGTTTAATCTCTTCAACCCCACCAATGTGTTTCCCCCTGATGAACACTTGTGGCAGGCAAATAATTTTCCCTCCCAGCAGTGACTGCAACTCGTTTCGGTACATGGAATCCATCGAAATGTCCCTCTCATCGACCGCAACTCGAAAGCCTCTGAATATCATCTTAACACTACAACAATCTTTGTATGTTTTTCGAATTCCTCTTAAGCTAGTGAAGTACAACACGAGTTTGGACTCAGTGGTTGGCACTTTGACCCAGCTATCGGATAGTGATGAAGTACACGAAGGGCTTGAAGAAGAACACGTGGCGATTGGGGTTTTGGATTCGTTGACTAATTGCCTAGAAGATAAAGCTCTTCTGTAGCTTGAAACTACATTAGGGTCAAGCTTTGAAAGCAGTGATTCTTCAGATAAATGCTTCCATAATGGCTTTGTTAATGGCGGAATCTCCTTTGTACGAGTATTAAACAGAGATTTAGGCTTACCCAGATCGAAATCGCCGCAATCGTCTAGCCCATCCATGAGTTCCCACGTGTTGATGACTGAGTCCGGCGACAATGACTCGACTTGGTCCACATGAACCGGCGACTTGTCGCCTAGGGAGGTGATGTTGATTTCCGGCTTTTGGATGTCGATGAGTGAAAGAGAGCCGTAGGTGGTGGAAGTCAACGAAACGAGGTGGTGGCTGTCGCCTTTCCTCAACGGCGGGTGGTGAACTAACGGCGTCGGGAGCGAGAGAGCTCGAGAAACAACCGGCGGAGGCGGGGGAAGCGGGGAAGAAGAAGAAGAATTGAGTGAAGAAACCATGGATGAATCCACAGAAGAAAAGGAATGCGGGTCTTCGTTGGAGTTTTGGGTTCTGGTGATGATATTAGTGTTGGGTCTTGAAGCAGAACAACCCATTGATGAAAAACAAATCTTTTTCCCACTTTTTTTCCTTCACTTTCCCTCTAACCAAACACTTGTTTCAGCCTTTTTGAACTTAAAGGAGAGAGCTTTTTGGTGTTCTTTAATGGAGAAAGAGAATTGCTAGCGGTAAATTTGGTGCATTCTTTATTCTAAGCTTTGGGGAAAAGGCTGGGAGAGAGGGGGATGGTGCTGGTGGGACAGAGTTGTCATGAGAGTTGGGAAGTGGGCGATGCTGATATTTAATGCGCTTTCAAAATCAAAAGTAATAAAAAAGAGGCATTGAGCTTTTTTAAAAAAAAATTATAACTTTGATATTTGTGTTAATTTTTTAAAATTAGATCTTAACGCTTGTTTTTTTATTTCGTTTTAGTGACGTTAAAAAATTTGACAAATAATTTTTATGGGTAAATTAAATCATTCATCTCTCAATTATCTTCTCATTCCAATTTTGTACCTAAATTATCAATTTTTGTCTGCATTTAGTACCGAAACTATTAGTTTTGGTCTGTTTTAGTACTTATACTTTTAATTTTTCAAAATCATACCTAATTTAGTTTTTTTATTTTAGTATCCCTCATTCAATTAACGTTAAATTTTGAAAAAAAAATTAAAAGTTTAGATATTAAAATATACAAAAAATGATAGTTTAGGTACTGAATGCGTTCAATTTTTAAAGACTGTTACTAAAATAAAATAAAAACTAGACATTAGATATGATTTTGAAAACTTTAAAATATTAGGCACTAAAATGGACCAACATTGATAGTTTAGGAACTAAATGCGTAATTTACCCTATAATTATTGGCATTTTTACCTTTTGGTCCCTATTTTTTGTTCCAATCAGTGGTCTAGCTTCTTGTTTAGATTTTGAATTGCAATTTATCTCTTGTTTTGGGCTTTGATATATCGAAGCCAAAATCAGGGGTCAAATTGCACAAAATAAAAAAATTTATGGGCCAAATTGAAGTTTAAAGGGGTCAAATTATATATCAACACTAAATTCAGGGGGCAAATTGCCCTAACAAAAAGTCATGAGCCAATCTGAAGCTTGGAGCCTAATTCAAGGGCCAAACTGCACCAAAAAAGTTATGGGCCAAATTTTATATCAAATCCAAAGATAAGGGTTAAAGGTATCATTTTGGTGATAAGAATTAGGGTCTAAACGTATAATGCTTGAACTTGATAAATTTAGTTAAACTATACATTTTAAGGGTCAAATTAACTCATTAACTTGATAAATTTAGTAAAATTAATGAGACAATTTAACCCTAAGCATGAAATCATAACATTCTTGTGATTTTAACTTCGAGTTTTAGTACTTAAACTTTCATTTTTTCTAAAATCATATATAACGTTTAGTTTTCATTTTATTTTAGTATCCGTCATTAAAATTTTAGCAAGTTTAATACCTAAACTTTTGAACTTTTCAAAATTTAACGTTAAACTTTGAACGGGATACTAAAATGAAACAAGAACTAACGTTTTTAACAACGGAGTACTGAAATGAAACAAAAACTAAACTTTGAGTATGAATTTTAAAAAAAATGAAAGTTTAAGTATTTAAAAACTAACTAAAACTGATAATTTAGTCACTTAATGATACTCATTCATGTTTTAACTTGTTTAGTTAAATGTATGTTTGGCTGCAATTCATGATGCAATAGAAAATAGTGTATGTTAGCACAAATTTGGAAGTTTGGGTAACTTAAAAGAAATGCAAGGGGAAAGCCCATGTTCTGCGTTACTATTAGTGGAATGTCACGTTCATTCGTTTGGTGGCACTGAGGAAAGCAAGTCGCTTTCACTGCCAGCCGCGTCGTCTTTTCTACATCACCGCCACAAGCAGCCACCGCTTACTTCCAAACGCCCCTTCTCCCCTTATTTCACTAAAAAAATACTCCTCGATTCACATTAGAGTTAGTTTATGATCTAATTAATCTAAATTAAATTATTGTCATTTATTAAGGTTTTAGATTCGAGTATCAAATTGTTTTTATTAAAATATGAGTTAACTGCATTATACGTCTTCAAGCTATGTTTCTTGTTTGAAATTGGTCCCTAAACATAAAGTTTCAAATTGGTCCCTAAACTTTTAAATATTTCAATTCCATCCTTAAACCATGGTTATCGTTCTAAATTAGTACTCAAACTTTTGAACATTTAGTTTCCTCCCAAACTATATTCTCCATTCTAAATTGGTCCCCAAACATTTTCAACATTTTAATTTCATCCTAAATTATATGTACATAATACTCACATTCCATGTCAATAAAAGCGTTAGTTAAAGTTATATTCTTATATGTTTGAAAAAAATAAAGTTTAGGTTAAATTATGGTTAGAATTAATTACATATTTGGATGGATTTGAGGATAATATTTAAAAGGTTGGGGACTAGTTTAGAATAAGGGTTATAATTTTAAGAATAAAAGCATAATGTTCAAAAGTTTGAGGACTAATTTAGAATGAGCATCATGCAATTAACTCTTAAAACATTGTAATTATCATGTAATATTTGTTTGAAAGATTGTCAACTATTTTATAATGAACACTTAAACATCCATGTAGACATTGTACTCGAACCTGAAACCTATAGAGATAACAATCATCCTTTAATCATTGAAATTACTTGACTGATAATGTATTTTAAAGTTTTTAGATTATTTTAAACTCGAATTGCTTCGGTTCGAGTTAAAATTAAGATGAGTTTCATTACATTTATGATGAATCTATCTTTATTGTGTAAGTAGTCTTCATTTTGCAACCTAACAAACAAGGAGAAAAAAGAAAAAGGTTGAAATAGACATATGATAAATGTGGAGGACCACATGGTAACCCCATTTTAGAATTACAAAAGGGCAAACTACACATTTCATCATTGAACTTTACTATTTCTCCTATTTTGCTCACTAAACTTTAAAAGTTATTTTTGTTATTGAATTTTACTCTCTCCTATTTTGGTAACCTTGTCATTAAATAATTAACGACATTAAAAATGACGCCGTTTAAAAAATTCACTAAAACGACGTCATTTTGCATCTATATAACAACCTATTTTAATGTCGCTAACTATTTAACAGCCGAGTGACAAAAAAAAAACCTCAATGTATCAAGTTCATTGACAAATTTGAAAAAAAAAATTTGAAAAACAGTGAGTGAAATAAGAGAGACTAAAGTTTAGTTACCAAATTTATAATTTACCCTTACAAAATATAACATTGGTTGACAAACTATTTTTTAGTTCAAAAATAATCACTCCATTTATAAAAATATATATATCCATCCATCACAAATAAAAAAAATGTTACAATTCATCTACTTTGAACACTATCTCATTAAGACATCAACTATCTTAACTATAATATTTTAATAAAATTCTATCAAATAAACAACCAATAATTATAATATAATATTTATAATAAATTTATAATATACACATGTATCAAATTACAATATAATAATATTATAACTATTTTCAACTATTATATTATAATCAAGACAAATTGATAGAATAATAAGGATCAATTGTGTGATTATACCGATTTACTAATTGTTGTCTCTTTCTCTATTAAATATTAACGATAAATACCTTGATTAGCATTATTTAAATAACTTGGTGATTTGATTGATAAATTTAAAAGTTCCGTGGTCAAAATATAATCCCCTTTTAGTTAAATGGTTATGGATATAATTTACCTAAAATATAAGAATAAAACTATTTTTGATATATTTTTATTACAATACAATTATTTAAAATAAAATTATTATTTAAGATAAAAAATAATCTTAATAAAATTATTTGTTTATTGATTAAGTAAATATTAAACAAACTACAATTTCAATTATATGCACACTCTAAATTTATAATTTTACTATATTTTACCTTACATTAAAATACATGCATCATTATTAATAGTTTTATATCACAGATAAATAATTAAAATATATCATTTTTTTATTTAAATACCTGAAATATTTGTTGGTCAAAATAAATATCTAAAGTAATTTTTCTTTATCAAAATATGTACCTATTGTATTTTATGTCAAAATAGGTACCTAAACTATTCAATCTTTTTTATCTAAGTTCTACGAAAGTTGACATGTCAAAATAGGTACGTATTGTATTTTATGTTAAAATAATTTTAATTTTTTTTAATAATTTAATATGATTATAAGATAATATCTTGAAAACTTTTTTTAACTTTAACTTAGAATATTTAGAAAAAAAATATTTTTTACCATTGAGATCACTTAAAAAATTATTTATTTAAATTTAATAGTAAATTATGTAAGTATTAATATACAAATATTTTGGTAAAAGGGTATGTGAAACCCCTTTACTTTAAAAAAAATTAATGTGACCCTCTTATTATTTTTCTCTAAATATAGTTCTCGTACTATTTTTTTCTCTCAATGTGACCCTTCAACTAAAAAAAAAACTCAATGTGGCCATTGACCAACGTTATTAACCAACGACTCCATTAATTTCTGCTGACGTAGATGTTCTCTCAAATATGTTAAGAAGGGAATACTTCTTGTGGCTGATGTTAAAGACATAAATAATTAATTTTTGGTTGCATGAGCAATTGTTGAAGCAGAAATTTATGGTTGACTTAGAATATAGGTTAATGACAAAAAAGTCAACAAAAAATCCCATTAATTTTTTTAAAGTTTGAGGACCACATTAGTACAAGAGCCATATTAATTTATTTTGTAAGTACAAGACTTGGGAACTATTTTACCAATATTTTTTAATCATAAAATGGTCTATTTGATATTGTACGGACCCGATTTGGCTGCACAAGAGGTTTGACAAATTTTCGGGTCCTGACTTTATTTGATAGTGTCGAATTAATTATATTTATGAAAATTAAATTTATTTTCTTTCATTTAAATATATTGAATTTTGATTATATTTAAACTTAAATATTGTAATTACAATTCATATTAAATTTAAAATAGATATTGGCTGAACGATTTTTATTCTATAGATGATTTATTTAAATTAAGGCATTTATTATCAAAATATTTTAGCCCTTATATGGATATTTAAATTTATCATTTGTTTTTTAAAACTATTTTTTTGCAAAAGAAGACAAATTTTAGTGGATTTAGATAACAATTAGATAATTAGGATCCGTTTGTTTCCCGTAAAATATTTTTCGAAAAGCGTTTTTCTCATTTTTTTTTGTGCCTGGTCAGAGGAAAATTGGTTGGTCAATGTAAAACATTTTCTAGTCAACATAATTTTCTTTGTATTTTCTGGAAAATGACTTACGTTTTGATTCTCCGTAAGTCATTTTTCGAACTTTTCACTTCAAATAATAAATACTCAAAGTAATTTTAATTTTTATATATTTAATATTAATATACTATTTTAAACAAACGAACCCATAATTTAATTCATATATTGTCTTTAATATAATAGTATTTGTATTTAATGTAAATGGTGAAAGGGGTTCAAATTTTTAAATAACTTTATAAATTTAAATTGAAAAACAGTTTTAATAAAGTAAATATTAATTTTTGATATTGAAATTGATTTCAAGGCCAATAAAATCGATTCTGATCACCCGATTGTATCAAAAGATTCAAGTATTGGTTTAAATAAAAAAAATTAAGTATAAATAAGTCATGTTCGCGTACCGAATTAAATCTGAAAATCACAAATATCGAATTGGACCAAAAAGTCATTTTCAAATATTTAACTGTACCTAAAAAGAACTTTGGGTATCAAATTAGACTTAAAAATAAGTTTACATACTAAATATTTATGTATCTTAAAGTTCATCTAGCTAGATAGGGTTTAAAATCCTTTTAAGTAACATGGAATATTTAAATTTTAACATTACAAATTAAATAAATAATATTAGGAGGACTAATATCATAATATCATAATATAGGGCTTAAATATAAAATAAGTGTCAAAACTATAGTGTTTTTTTATTAATATGTGTCTAAATTATTTTTTGAATGATCTTGGTGTCTAATGTTATAAATGTTATCATTTTAGGTGTCTGGACTATCAACAATATTAATTTATTTCATTAAGTGCTAATTGGTGGCTACTACAATGGTGTATGATTAGGAGAATGACAGGGACTACGTCGGCGACAGTGGTCGTAGCCAAAAAAGACGGTAACAATGGATTAAGGACATGATTTGAGGATTTTAAGGATTTTAGATTTTTTTTTATAATTTAAGAGAAATTAAGTTTTTATAAATATATAAATATTTTTAATATTTTAAAAAAAATTAGCAGATTATGATACATATTATTTAACGAAGGAAGTTAACGTTGTTGACGACCCAAACAACTAAAGTAATAACATTTGTAACGTCAGACACCAAGATCATTCTAAAACTAATTTAGGTATATATTCGACACTTATTTTATACTATCTAGATTAGTTAGCTAATAAGTTAGATACCTATAATTTTTTTAAAAAATTAATATAACAAATGAAAAAATATTAAGGAGGAGAAGCTAAAGGACAAAACAAAGGACAAAACGCCTTGTTACATGCGTGGTGTCATTCTCCTTTGCCAACTTCTCTCTTTCAGTTTCAATTCTTCCTTCCTTCAACCAACCTATATATATATATATACACACACATTTTCATTGCCATTTATATGTATATGTTTCAGTCCCTTTATTTCATCACCAGTCTCCCATTCTCATGGCGGGTCTCCACTCTTCTTCAAGACCATCCTCTTCGTCTTCCCTTTCTTCTTTTTCTTCTTCACATCAATCCTTCACTTCTCGTCTCCTCTTGCTCTTAACTATCCTCCCTTTAGCCCTCGCCTTACTTGCCTTTGTTCTCCAATGGCGTGGCGGTCTGACCGACCCCATCTCCCGTTGGTCCACTGACCCGTTTCAGTTCCCTGGCATGGACAACCCCGGTTCCAATCCCGGTTCAGATCGCCGCTCCAATTCAGGCTGCGTCGATACTTTGGGTCGAAGCAAGTCACCGGCTTTCCCTTATTTCAAGGGTTGGGAATTCGATGCCGGGTCGGATCTTACGCCTAAGGTTAGTTGGATTTTCGGGTTTCCCTTTTTTGGAAATTTGAATATTCAGATTCTGTAATGCTCTTTTTTCAGTTTAATATCCCCGATGAATCTGAATCTTAGTGGATTTCAGGTCCTAATCTTGCCTGGAATTGGACTACCTAATTTTCTCTATTAAATTATATATTTATTCGATAGACTTGTAGATTATAGATTTAAAATAATCAAGGATGAAATTAGATGTAGATTTGGATTAGCTTGAACCATGAAATTCAGATCAAATTGAAGAAATTAAAAGCGGAATAGACCTGTTCATGAGTTGAATCGTATTGAGTTTGGATCGAGTCTAGAGAACGATATTGATATTATATTTGTTTGTCTAAACCCTCCTTGGAAAATGCTTGTACCTGCAATGGATTGTCTAAGCTTACTGATTCATATTTTCTTAATCTTTATTTATGAATATATTTTATTATGATTAGTTTAAAAAAATAAATAATTCAAAAAATTTGATGCTTACATCTTAGTATTATATATATTCATATAAAATACATAAATATATAAATATAAAAAATAATATATATGGTAGGATTCAAGTCGTTTGGATTTGGTTAGAACATTTAATATTGGAATTAAGGTTTGATTTGTTCACTACACAGGTTTCTTTTTCTTTTCGAATTTATATCTCGGATATAATATTTTTATTCATGCTCATTCTAAAATGTAGGCTGAGCACGTAGTCCAAAATTTAGGACAAAAATATTAAAAAGACTTACTAATAAAGAATGTGATAATGTTTATAAATTTTATATTTTAGTAGTAGGATTAAGAGACTGTAATTAGTTTTATTTTTTTAAAATACACGTATGGGCATGTGTAGTTGGTTAATCACGTCTGTGGATGTAAAAAATTTCACAGCCAAATGAGTTAATTTTTCTTAATATATAACCAAAATGATCTAAGATGCTGTAAATGTATATTAGTAAATAAGATAGTAGTTGGTTTGATCAAGCAGTTTCTTTGATTAATGTATTGCTCTGTGAAGCCCCTTTTCGTGTGTTTCAAAATTGAATGGAGTTAATATGTATATATAGAATTTTTGCATATTTTAAAGATTATCGGTGGATACTGGATACCAAATTTATTTGCATAAAATATTTATCACTGATGTATGTGGTTTGATGAATTGTGGATGCTGTTTCTTACCTTTTTTTGTTTTTGCTGAATGCCAGATATGTATTATCTCTAGTACTTCTGCAGGATTAGAACAGACTCTACCATGGATCTTTTATCACAAGGTTATTGGAGTTTCAACCTTTTTCCTCTTTGTTGAGGGGAAGGCTGCCTCTCCTAATGTATCTAAAGTCCTAGAATCAATTCCAGTGAGCATAAATATTCGTTCCTCTTTTTGATTTATATACCTTGTTGTAAGCTTTTCTGTTTATTCCTCTTCGATTCTGTTGCTATCTAATAAATCATCTTGTACAGGGGGTGAAAGTGATATACAGAACAAAAGAATTAGAGGAACAACAAGCTAAAAGGTTTGTACAAGATTGGTTGAATTCAGGATAACAAAAAGTACTTGTTTTCTTGTGGTCTTCTTCTATAAGTCAATTTTGCGCTTCTTTTCTGTACAAGACTTAAATTATTGTTGGAGAACTCAATGCTGTAGAGAAGGGTGTGAGGAAAAGAGAGAGAGATACTAAAAATTTGGAGGTTAATTGAGAGCTATTTTCAGTCCTGGAATACTAGTGATTTGGTTGCAATGTGGAACTTAGTCTCCATAGTTATGGACCAAACTACCATCCTATTGAGCTCCCAAAATGAGAATAAATTACACATTTTGGGAGACATTAGCTCTGAAATAAATAGTGCTGTGTCCTTAGGGTAAACTGGAGATGACCTATAATATTTATACTTTACCGTTAGATTGTATGGTATCAACTTCCTTTTTGTGTGTATGTTAATGGTTTCTGGATATAATACTTTTCATGGGATTATCTGTTTGCTTCCTTGATAGTTTATTGAATCATTCTTAAAAAGGTAACTGTTTGATGCCTTAAAATCTGGCTTGATGCTCTTAGATTTCCTTCTCCGATTTCATTTTGGTGTTTGTAGTCGGATTTGGAATGAGACTTGGTTGGCTAGCTTCTTCTACAAACCATGTAACTACGAGTTGTTTGTGAAGCAATCCCTTAACATGGAAATGTCTATTGTCATGGCAAGGGTATGTTATTACATTTCATCTCCCCCAGATATATTTTCATGTATAGTATAAATTTGTATTGATGGTAAGATATAACTCTTAACCTTACTATTCTTTTTCTTCATTCATTTACAGGATGCTGGCATGGATTGGATCATTCATCTTGACACCGATGAGCTTATACATCCTGTGGGTGCTCGTGAGTACTCTTTGAGACAATTACTGTCGGGTGTACCAGGAAATGTTGATATGGTTGTCTTTCCAAATTATGTGAGTAGAGCTGCCTTTATAGATTCTAAAGTCAATTATGTTTATTTTGGTTATAAAAAGGTTTAATGGGTAAAGTTATTTCGAATCTTTGATCTTGTTTTGTTGTTGACTCCGAAAGCAACTAAATCATATAAAAATTTCAGGAAAGCAGCGTCGAGCAGGATGATGTCAAGGAACCTTTTACTGAGGTATAATTTCCTCTATTTATTGATCATGCTTTGCTTTGGTTAGATTTATTACGATATGGCTAATATTAGTTTGATGGCAAGATTATTAAGTTTTCTGTCTCTCATGCCAGTTGCTTTTGATAGGGTTATGATCATGTATGCACTTGTTGTTGATTATCACATCTTCTATCTTGGCATAGGTTTCAATGTTCAAGAAGAACTATGATCATCTTCCCAAGGAAGTGTACTTTGGCAATTATAAAGCGGCAACCCGTGGCAATCCAAACTACTTTCTGACCTATGGAAATGGGAAATCAGCTGCACGTATTCAAGATCATCTTCGCCCTAACGGTGCACACAGATGGCATAACTACATGAAAACACCAAAGTATGGTATTCTCCTTTTCTACTAATTTCGTGTTAATGAATTTATGTTGTTAACGTCATTGTTATGTATATCTAGCAATAAAAAGTTCACATGTGTCTTTTCATTATCAGCGAGATTAAGGCACCTTGCAAACCTAGTAGAGTGTGTCTTGCTGTTCTTCAGGCAAGGCACCTTGGTTAAAGTGTGAACCATTGTGTGTAGGCAAACTCAAGTATCATTTTTGTTTATTTTATTTGCTTTTCTTTTAATTGCCAAAAGAAGATAAGATTAGTTGTATTTACAAGAATTAAACTTTGGGTAATAATCATAATCCAATCCATGCATATTTCTTGAAAAACCAAATTGCAAAAAGCACCGAGCTTTCTTTGATAATGACTTTTAGTAAATTAGTATGATAATACATCATCTTAGGAACTGTTAAGTAATAAATAAAGCAAAGCAAAATCTTTATGTTCTTTGAGGAAAAAACATAAGTTCCGAGCTTTATTAAATACAATGCAGAGTTTTTTTGTTTTGCATATACTATTAATTACATTGGGTTAAAAGTTAAAACTAGCACCTTATTTCACTTCAAAAATTACTTCTGGCTCTCTGCCTCAGCTGCTGTCGCTCCTAGAGTGGGCCCTGTCTTTTAATATACTAAGTTGTTAATATCTGTCAAATGCAGATGACCTCTTCTTTAATAAGGACTTCTTATCTGTTGTGGACTTATGTTCATTTTTATTTATCCTTTTATTTTTTAAGTCATTTACTTTATAGTTGAGCGTCCTTTCCTTTCTTAATCTTAGGTATATAAATTTTGTGTGATATTTCACAGTGAGATCAAGTTGGATGAGGCTGCTGTTCTGCATTATACATACCCCAAATTTTCTGATCTAACTTCAAGGCGTGATCGATGTGGTTGCAAGCCTACAAAGGACGATGTTAAAAGATGTTTCATGTTAGAATTCGATAGAGCTGTGAGTTCCAATTGTGATATAATCCATCACATTCCTTTTATCGGGTTTTTAACTTGCATATCTGTTTTCTATTGCCCATGCTTTTACTTGGACCATTGTTTTCCAACTTTCTTTTAACCCGATTTACCGATCTATCAAGTTCAAATATCATTGTACTTGCATAAAGCAAGGAACACTAAAAGTACTAGGTATGTGTTTCTTGATTTCAGCTTTGGCCGTTTTATAGGCCTAAGTTATAGCCAGAATGCATGTTTTCTGACCTGCTCTTAGCATAAGTTACAGAAAGTTCCATTTTCATATTACATTAGGGCTAGTAATGTTTGTATTGATTATGGAGGGAGAGAGTTGGCGAGTTCTCTATGATGATTACACGTTGACTGATATTTCTAATATTTCGATGGAGGGGGACGATTGCTTTCTGGTTTACTTGAACCATGTATTTTTGCTTAATTTGCTTAGTTCTTTCATGTTTTATTTTATGCAGGCATTCATAATTGCTTCAACTGCAACCGAAGAGGAGATGCTTCGCTGGTAATGCTTATATTAACATATTAAACATCCTGTGTCGTCGTGTTTCTCGTTTCGACTATGAACCGACGCTTCTGATGTTGCGTGTTATGGGCAAGGATTTCTAAACATTTACTGATATGTTTAGGCTGTCAAATGTCTACACTTAGCAAATTGTTGGGCTGTATAAGAATCGTCTATGATGATCTACTCCTTACTTTCACATCTAGGCAAAAATGTTTCTCATCAAGCAATGTGTGTGTCATAGTTGTGTCGTGTCGGAGTTTATTTTTGGCTTCTTCGAATAATATTGTGCTTTTTCCCCCTTAGGTACCGCGAGCATGTGGTGTGGACTGATAAAGAATTGAACTTGAAACTTTTGAGGAGGGGCATCTTAACTAGGATTTATGCTCCCATGGTGAGTTAAACTTCCACTTTTCTGGGTTTTTTTGCTGTTCTTTGCGATGGATTATTTCGTGGATGACATGATCATTCACTTTTCCCCTGATCCACAGGTTATAATCCAAGGACTTCGGGAATCTGATATTTTCGCTTCCGTAATACAATCGGCACAGACAACTATCTCAAAGGGCAAGTTCTCATTGTCGCTCGAGAGTAGCAACTCTTCTAGAGTTGACGAATCTGGAATAATTTCGTCCAGAAAGATTGGTGTCAAAGAATCTACGGCAACCGCCCGAAGGATCATGGAAATATCTGAAAACTTTTCTTACGGTTCAGCTATTCCACCACTTTCTCCTCCGGTCCTGCATGACCTTCACATCGGTATATAACGACATCAAACTCGCAACGATTACTGCTGCCAAATCGCTCCCACCAAGAGTTGGAGAATCGAATCAAAACAAGATGGATGAGCAAGTTGGTTAGAGCACTTCTCATCAGGCAGTTCAGTATTCGGATTCCTTTGGGGCTATTCCCGATCATTACCCAAGCGGCGCTGTACATTTCCCGGCTTCGATTATAGTATAGATCATAAGAGTTTAGAGGATGATAGATGGTGATTGACGAGTGTTGCTACATCGTTTGGTATCATTTTGGATGCCATAACATACATGAGCTTCAGCTTATTATAGAGACGGAAATGGCACATTGTTGTTCCGTTCTTTTGCACTTGCCGGAAAAGATTTTGCATTCTCGTTTGCTGATCGAAACTTGACTTATGATCGACCGAGTTTTACTTTTAGGGTTTATTTTCAATTTAGTCCTTGGAATTTCTAATATTTACCCTCTTGATATTAGAATGCAAAAATTCGATCAAGAACTGAGGTCCTCTCAATTTCAATAATGACCAAATTGGGTCTTAAAATAAGCAGAGTACTTCAATTATTGTCAATTTTGGGGATGAAATTGAAACGTTCAGGAGTGTGAGTATAAATTTAAAATGAGTTATAGTTTAGGGATAGACAGTTTTAGAATAAGAGTTGAAATTTAGGGATGAAATTGGAAGATTAAAATATTTGAAGAGTAATTTACAATGAAGATCATAGTTTAGGGATATATAATGCAGTTGACTCTTCTCCTTGACGTGTATTGTTGTGTTATGTAATTTCGAAGAAAGTATTCTAGGGTAAACTATGCATTTAGTACCTAAACTATCAATTTTAATCAAATTTAATATTTAAACTTTAAATTTTTTAAAATCACACTTAATGTTTTAGTTTTTGTTTCATTTTAATACCTTATTGATAAAAACTTAAAATATTTAATACTTAAACCATTAGTTTTGATCTATTTTAATACATAAACTTTTTTTTTTGTAAAACTTAAATTTTGAACAAAGTATTAAAATAAAACAAAAACTGAACTTTAAATATGATTTTGAAAAGAAAAAAAATTAAATAATAAAACATACAAAAACTAATAGTTTAAGTATTAAAGGCGTAACTTACCCTTGATTCTAAAACATTTATTTTGTTAAAAGTAATCTAAAAAATGAAAATGAAAAAATTCCAAAATTTATAAATTCTCAAAGTCAAGAAAAAAATGAAAGCAATTTTAAAAAATTATATATATATATATATATATATATATATAAATAAATTCTTTCAACAATAGATAATGAATGATATTTTCGCACTAGAATACACTTTTCACCTTTCTTGTTAGATTGGCATGATTAAGCCATCCGAGCTAATGCATTTAAAGACCATTTTGAACCTTCGGTTTGAATTCGGACGAGTCCGGTTCCGATGCTCTCCTCAGCTATTCTTTTCGAATAATATCGCCCTTAAAGCCATGGCCATACCTTCAAGAACCCCCTCTTTCTCGGCCAAGTATCGTTCGGCTTCCCGTTTATCACCGAAACGCTTAGCATCGATGAAGTAGTTGCTTCCTTCTTGCTTGATAATTCCATACTCGCATGCCAACTCCAGGATCTCGGATTCACGGCAAAATCCTTTACCAAACTGTATTCCGAGCTCCGCTTTCTGCATTACGGGTGCCAGCTTGTTTTTCACCACTTGAACACAAACACCCAAGCCAGTTACCTAAAGACAAGGATAGATAGTCCACACGAAACTAATGGATGGATTATGTAATGATAATAAGAACTTGAACTATACCTACAGATAACTCGAAATCACAAAGATAGCTAGATGTGGAAATTCATGTATGAGTCTCAAACATGGTGCTGGGTATGTTCGATTTCATCAAGATTTCGACGTATTTAGAATCAGTGAAGGATCATTTCTCCCATACCAATGTCCGGATATGTGTCGGACAAAATATCAAACATTAATATTTCAAGAAAAATGGTCGGAGAGAAACATAGAAATAAAATAAGAAAATAACTTACTATCATCCAAATTTAGAAAATCTTTTGATATTTCTTATCATCAATAGAATATAATAAACCAAACTTAGAGGATTCTATACCTTATCCTCATTCTTCAACAATCCAGTTCTTATCATCCTCAACCGTATTGCTGAATAAAATTTCAGGGCATTTCCACCACAAGTGACCTCATCCATATGCCCGAAAGCTTGACCTTGTTTCGCATTATGTCTGACCTGAATGTAAATGATAAAAACTGTATGACCTACAAGACAGCTTACTGAAATCTACGGTGTGTGTGTGCATCTGCATTTTTATTTTTATGCTTGTTTGTGTAAACCAAAGAAAGAGAGAGAGATCTTGACAGGGTATCAACCTGATTAAGAAATACAATTAGAGTATGGGAACGGCTTAAAGAAAAAGAAATTTTCCGAAGTGCTTGACTCATTATCCGTGCTTGTACATCACACCTAATGTCGCCAATTGAACCATCAAGTTCACACTGAGGAACAAGGGCAGCAACCTGTGAATACCAAACATTGAGAATTAAGTCTTCAAAGTGAGAAGAGAAATGACAAAAGCTTGAAAGCAGTAAACTGCAGAGGCCAACCTATATAATATATATTCAGATATTCATATATAATATATATGTTGGACTCAATGTGTCAAAATTTCAGATCCAGCCACAGTCCAAATATTTGGACGCATCTATGAAAATTAACATGTTCACATATAATTTAATTCACTTGGACAAGCTTTAGTCTTTGGAGGCAGTATTTTGTATATATCCCAGATTGGCATATTACAAAAAAAAAATTGAAAAGGCATGTCCTCGTGATTATTGCCCTTTGGCTTATATAACTCACTCAATGAAGATAGTAACACTTAGAAACGAGGCATAACATGATATCCACATTCAATACCTCCAGAAAGAATAGACCACAGACCTGAGGGCAAAATACAAACGAAGCCCCTGAATGCCTAAAGTACAATTTTTTTGGGTAAGAGAATCACATAACATGGTCATATGTCAGATATCCAACAAATGAGAAGAAAAAATCAACACCACCACAGTTCACGGAATCAAATTGTATGGGTATCTGGGCACTTAAAAATATAAACATGTTTGAGTAAACAGAGCAGACACGAATCAAGTACTTACGCTATCAATCACAATTACATCTACAGATCCACTTTTGGTCAGTGTGTCAACAGCACAAAGCAAATTCTCAGCACAATCAGGAAGTGAAACAAGAAGATTTTGTGTGTTTACACCTATTGCTTCAGCAAGTGAAGGGTCCATAGCATTCTCCACATCAAAATATGCACAATACCCTGCCAAGAGGATTCATTCAACAAAACAAAAAAGGAAGTATAAGCCCCAATATGCAGACAAGTTCCAGCATCATCTCCCTGACCATGTTTCCTGTTAAATTCTGCTTAAACATAGAGGCAGATACTAGAAATGAATGAGGATTCACTACAAAATGTGTAATTTCTAGGAGACTTTTGAATTAAAAAAATCATTGTGACATAGATTTCAGCCAGCCATGAGACAAATTATTGCACTAATCATTATTAAAGTATCCTAGAATTATTCAATAATGGACATCAAGACAATGGGAAATACAAAAATTACTAAATATTTCCAAAACATTATCCTCAGAATAAATTATTGCAATTTATATTCCAGAATTGAAATGATTCCACCACCATAGAATGGGAAGAAAAGTTAACAACACCTCCAAGCTTTTGAGCTTCTTTGATTATATGAAGCGCTAAGGTTGTCTTGCCTGATGCTTCTCGCCCATAAATTTCAACCATTCTTCCCTGAATAACCCATAACAGAGATCAGATAAACTTTCAACCATTCCTGCCCTTCCTGCCCATACTCTGTAGCAGCTAACTTACGTGTCAAATAGAATAAAATTGCAAACCTTTTTCATGACAAATGTATATTAAGAATCAGTATCTACAATTAGGAATAATGTGTCAGTGCGGCTGAAGTTCAAATTATTTGTTACAAATATAAACATATCATGTGGTAAGCAGACTATCTATGCTTGGATCACAAGCAGAGCTCAAGGACTATTGTAAGGAAGGGGACATTTTAGGAGATTTAATCATTGTTTCTGTCAAACCTATATTAGCTAAAACCTTTGGTTGAGTTGTTAACAGTCTCAATTATCATCCTTGTGTTCTAGTGTAATCAAACTGACATGTTAAGGAAAAATATCTTATGCAGGTTCAAACTACATTATTCACAACTATCAATGACAGTTTCTGTCAAACATTAGGGCCAGAGGGAAGCAAGAGCATCTGAGCAACAAATAAAATCTGTATAAGCCTTTTCACTATTCACTTTTAATTAATATTGGATAATAAACAATTAGCAAGGTGAAGCATAAGCATAATATTAAATACATTTTCACTGTAATAAAAAGTCACAGAGATTTCCTAAAGAAAAAATCAATATAAATATGCAATTATCAGAAATAGAAGAGTATTTAAGTCAGGATTTTGAATCCATTATACAATTTAAATCTCTCCCAAGATAAGTTAACAAAGAAATGCAGAATCGCACATAAATATTTCATTCACACTGATCAAGCAGAGTGCTACATCATGCATAAATTCACGTAAATGTTCAGAAACAATAAGATAAAATTGAGAGCTGAACTAATCAGTTATCAGTAAAGAATTAAAAAAGTGATGTTTATGCAAGAAAGAAATAAATCAATGCCTATAATAACCCTTGACCCACCATATCTGAAAGACAACCAGAAGCATATGAGTTTGAATTGCCCAAGAAAAATAGGTAAAACTATATGCCACATATCTGTTAAAAACATAATGTATCAGATATCTGACTGCTGTCATATTTACAATGACAACTCAGCAAATATGTTTGACCACAAAATAGAAAATAAGTACGAGTTTCATTAGAAAAGAAGTGTGCTAACAGGATAAATATGCAATGTCGGCCCTTCACCTTTGGTAATCCTCCAATCCCAAGTGCTAGATCAAGCTTTAATGAGCCTGTAGATAACACAGGAGTATGTCGTGAGCTGAAGAAACGTTGCAAGGACAACATAGACTCTCTGTCAAAATCCCCAGCAAGTCGTGAGAGTGCTTCACGTAGATCACTGCCTTTCTTTATTTCTTTGCTATCATCATGAAATGCATCACATTGGTACTCCGAAACATCACCTGAAAGATTTAAAACATTATAATTGGGCAATTGAATTTAACTGCTCTCATTTGACTAACCTGTAACAAAACATACCCAATGCTTGAGTTAACCTTTTTAATTTTAATATATTAAAAGAAATATAAGAAAATTAATGAATAATAAAGAATGATGTAAGCATATAATTTCCTCCAAAGAAGGGGAAATCAATCTTGTCATTTCTTAAAATTTATAATGTGCTTTGCTACCTGCTTAAACAATTGAACATGAATTATGGCCCAAGTTGCAAAAAATAGATCACATAAGTCAGTCTTTTCATGCTGCTTGATCTCCATTTTTTCTTCTTCTTTCCTTTGTCTCTCCACCATGTTTTCTGATTTGTGAGGCCGTAAATACTTCCATTTATTCTTTGTTTCTGTATAATATTCTCTCATCTTCTCTATTTAATCTCTCACCCTCTCACAAATTCTATAGAAACCTAAACAATTTGAAAACTAGTCAAAGTTTTAAGCTTTTAGCAGCACTAATCACTGGATAGCTGAAACAGTTTCTTACACCATCTCCATCCTCTCTTTTTTCTTCCTTTTCTATCACACTCTCTTTAGTTTTGAAGTCATATATTTCCTTTTTCATTTAGTTGTTTTCTCTCATCCTCTTTACTTCATTTATTTCCAATCATATATCTTTGAGAAGCCCAGAAAAAAAAGTACATTTAGCTCCATTAGTTACCAGATTATCTTCAAATAAGCTTGTAACAGTTTTTTCTTTTTTCTTCCTTCATCATGCAATCTCTGGCAACAACATTCATCAATGAATTGACTTGGTCAGTTTGACGACTACTCATGTCCATAGAGTTAGTGGCAAGTAGCAACTTAAACACATATTTAATGCTCATACCTATACTATGATGACACAAGCACTTCAAGCAAATGTGACAAATCAGTGTAACAGCAACTTATGGAATGCACATACTAAAGCATATAATACAAATTAAAACAGGCGATGCAACAAAGTAATACAAACTGCCAAATAGATAGACAAAAATAAGAAAAAAATTGAGAATGAAAGAGAAGCTACCTACAGAAGAATGATTGCGTGTGCAAGCCCCAACAAAACTGATTGCATCTCTTCGTGCAAACTGGTAATAAAGCAACAATGTCGGATGACAATAAAGATACTTGAAGGTCCAGATATGCCATAAACCACTCAAAAAAAAGGATGAAAAAAACTACTAGCGTAGAGAAAATCAAGTTTTGAAGAATAAAGAAACGGATTAAAATAAATACACCACTGAATAACAAATAAAACAATCATTAGAATCACTTCAAACAAAAACTACTCATTGAAGTAAGCATGTCGGAAATTTCTACGAAGTTGCTTCCATTCAACACCGACAAATCTCTAACCGTTAAAACACACACAGAGTGAGAGCAAAACTAATTTATAACATAACACAGAGAGAAGATGAAACCTTAGGGAAGAAGCGAGACGATATCGAGACAGCTTTAAGTGCAATAGAAATGAAAGAGACTGCCATTAGTTCGTCTTCGTTAGCTAGTTTTCCTTTTGATTTTCTGGGATTCGAGGTTTTGGTAGGGTTTCATGAAATTGAATTTCGAGGGTTTTTTTTCGTGAAACGTTATCGCGCCATCTTTACTAACAAATTTGGGAAAACTACATCACGGTCATTAAAGTGGTGAACATATTTCTTTTCAAAAAGTTATATTACCATCACTAATATTGTAACATATTATAAAGGGTAAAGTATATAAATGGTCTCTGCACTTTTCAAATACTTGCATTTAGGTCCCCTAACTTTTAAAACTTACAATACAATCACTAAATATTTAGTTCGTTTATAATATGGTCTCCGACGGTCGTTTCACTTCTGTTAGGGTAAATTATATAAATGGTCATTAAACTTTTTAGGTGCTTGCATTTAGGTTTCTCAACTTTTAAAACTTACAAAACAATCATTAATTACATTATAAACCTCGAATTCTAAAATGCTTCAACTATATTCTAAACCTCAAATTCCAAAATGCTTCAAATACATTCTAAACCTCAAATTCCAAAATACTTCAATTACATGTCCAACCCCAAATTCATAATTTATTCTCAAAATATGGCATAACAAACTGAACTTGAAGCAGTAACCCTAAACCCTCAAAACATAACCCTAAATGCTAAATTTTCCCATCAATTAATCCAATATAATCAACACCATTTAGTTCATTTTGGGTCATAATAATAAGTGATCATGTTGGGTTTAGGATTTAAAAGTTTGATTTAACCAACTATAAGTGAACAATACTCAATTCGATTAGAAAAAATTATTTTTCGACTTGAATTGATTCAAAAAATTTGATACAAATTGACTTTGAGTTGTAATTTCATAAACTCAACTTAAAAAAAAATCAAGTTAAAATTGAGTTCTAAAATACAACTCGAATATCTCAAAATTTTTAGTAATTAGTGGATTAATTTTTAAGTTTGAGTAAAGTCCCTTGACTCAGTATGATATATGTATATCACATATGGAAAAAATATGAAGAAATATATGTACTGTATATGGTTAAAACACTATTTAAATTAGAATCAAATAATATTATAGTATTATAAATATTTATAATTAAATTTAAACAGAAACTCAAAAATTCAATTCAATTCAATTTGACTTTATTTAAATTTATAAAATCAAATAGAAAATTTTTTGAGTTAACTATTTTATAAACTGAATTGAATTAGAATCAAACAATATTATAATATGACAAATATTTATAATTAAATTTAAACAGAAACTCGAAAATTCAATTCAATTCGACTTGATTTAAATTTTATAAACATAAATCGAAAAAATTTCGAGTCAACTATTTTATAAACTGAACTGAATTAGAATCAAATAATATTATAATATGATAAATTTTTATAATTAAATTTAAACAGAAACTCGAAAATTCAATTCAATTCGACTTTATTTAAATTTTATAAACTCAAACCGAAAAAATTTCTAGTCAACTATTTTATAAAATGAATTGAGTATTTAACCCTAAATCCAACATACTAACTTATTATTCACTTATAGTTTGTTAAAGTTTTTTGAAACGATTATGTTTTGAGGGTTTAGGGTTGTTATTTCAAATTTTAGTTTGTTATGTTAGATTTTGAGAATGAATTATGAATTTGGAGCTGGGTTGGGCATGTAATCGAAGTATTTTGGAATTTGAGGTTTAGAATGTAATTGAAGTATTTTGAATTTTGGGGTTTAAAATATAATTGATGATTGTTTTATGAATTTTAAAAGTTAGGGGACCTAAATGCAAGCGCCTGAAAAAATTCAGTGACCATTTATACAATTTACCCTAACGGTAGTAAAATGGCCGTTACGTCGGGGACCATATTGCAAACGAACTAAATGTTTGATGATTGTATTGTAAGTTTTAAAAGGGTGGGGACCTAAATTGAGTATCTAAAAATTTTAGGGACCATTTATATACTTTACCCAATTATAAATTAGGCAAAAAAGGCACCAGAAGTCCCTATACTTTTGAAAAAAATCAACATGGACCTTGTATTATTTTTCTCTCAATCTAACCCTCCAAATAAAAAAAACAAACTTAATGCGACCCTTTGACCAAAGTTTTTCGTCGTTAACTATTACGGTGCTAGCGTGGCAGTTCACGATGTTGACGTGGCGGTCCACGTGCTGATGTGACAATTCATCGGTCATGTTGAGTTACCAATTTAGTTCATTTGTTAATTAGTGTTTTAAATAATTAATATTTATAGTTAATTTCTCCATTATTATATTTTTGTTATTTATTTGGGTGTTTCTACTAGTTTTCTATGAAGGACCCTAATTATGAAAATTGCATTTAAAAGATAAAGTTCTACGACTTTTTTATTTTTCCAGGATCATGAGCGACCTAGTGGATATGAAACCAGGCATGAAAGCGCTGAACATATTTTAGAAGGTTAGTCAACAGTTGCGTAAAGACATAAGACTCAGCCACAAATTCATATTTAATTTCAAGAATTATCTTTTAAGATTTTTAATGTTATTTTATGGTTTTTTAGGAGACTATAAATACCCATCGATGCAAGCCTAAAAACACATCTATATATCTCATATTCATTTTTCTTATTTCTCTAGTTTTATAAAAGTTCTTTCTTTTTCTTTATTTACGTTTTCTTTATTTTTCTTTTTTAATAATGCTAAATATGATTTCTATCATGCTTAACTAAGTTTTTTCAACAATGACTCCATTCCTAATGTGAGAATTGAAAAACACCTCATATCTTTCTGGGTTAAATTTCTCAATTTTCTGGAAACTAAATTGACAGATGTTTTTTCTTAAAATAAAAACGCTTTAACTTCACAAATAGATTTTGGCTTGGATGTTGTTATGGTTTATCGTAGGGATTATATAATCAATTGATTCGAATTCCCTTGGACATACCTAGATATAGCACGCTAAGGGGAGATTGAGATCGAGTTTGACTTTCATAGAGAAAGCGTAATTCGAGTCAGACTTTTCCAAGCGCTTTTAATTTGTTTGTAACACCCCAATTTAGGGGCTAAAATTAAGAAATTATAAAGTGGTGGATTTAATTGGTATTTGGAAGAAATTTGGGGATTAAATTGTCAGATTTCAAGATGGCAGACCGTTTTAAGAAATGCATGAAGTTTAGTGGCTAAAGTCATGATTTAACAATTTTATATATGTTGAATTATAAGTTCCCCGTGCGCAGGTTCTGCGGAAAATTTTCCAGTTTTCCTCTCCCGTTCTCCCTACTTCGAACTCCGATCTACTCGCCGTCCGACCTCCGATCGACGAGCCAAAACCACCATCGTGTTCGTTGTCAACCGAGGAACAAAACCCCTCAAACCTTTCGTCGTGAATCATCTCCATTCGTCGTTAATTTCAGTCGGAAGTATCGTCGGTAATAACTCGGTTTTAGTTGGTTTTTCATCGATTCACAACGATCGGATCATCCGTTTACGACACCTCCCGCACCATCGTGTTCCTTGTGCCGTTCCGAGTCCACCGTGTCCTCCATTTTCTCGGCGGCGACGGCGCGTGTGGAGGTGAAGCGGTTAAAGTTTTCGATTTGTTGAAATTGAGCTCTCCGCCGTTCAAAATTGTGAACCGAGCTTTGTAAGTATCTCGAAATCGCTCAAAAATTTTTAGAAATTTTTCCGGGATTTTATCACTGTTCACGCACCCCCACGCGCCGCCACTGCGCGTGGGGAAGGGAAAAGTGACCGGTTTGACGGTTTTGAAACTGTTTTGACCGGTTGACCGGTCACAACCCGACCCGACCCGTTGACCCGACCCGTTTACCCGACCCGTTGACCCGACCCGACCGTTGACCGACCCGACCCGTTGACCGTTGACCGTTGACCGAAGTTGACCACTGTTGACCAAAACTTTGACCGGCTTTGATCGGGCATTAAACGACCTTTGACTTCGACCGAGTATACCTATCCTGACATTTTTCGACATTCCAAATCCGATTCCCTGTTTTTTTCGAAATTCGAACCTGAAGGTCTCGAAATTGCCGGTCAAACCCGTTGACTTGATTTTGACCGAAAATTCCAAATTTCTGAAAAGTCATATTTATGCTTTCGACGTCCGAATCCGAATCCGAAGTCCGTTTCGCCAAATTCGAACCCGGTAAGCCGTATTTCACTGATTTATCACCCGATTCGATCCGTTTATCGTAATTAAGCTCCGTTTCTGATATAATATTTGATATGTATCTGAGGAATTATTGGAAGTTGAATTGAAGATCAAAGGCATTCGAATGGAATTTTTATGG